GCTCCCAATAAGGAATCTTTATGCCTAAATAGAGGCTCTGTGTCATCGTTATATTCTCTCTACCCTTTTAGGAATAGTTTAAGTTGAGTGGGGCCCATATGATCCCTATTTTAAAGCTAAGGAAATTGAAACCCCCAAAATGAACAGACATCCAAAAAAGAAGCTTGCCCAGATTTATAGAAAACTAGAATTCGAATCTTGGACATCCTAAGTTCAGGGCTCCTTTTGCCATCTACTGGCTGAGAGAGCCATGAATGTGGGTCATACAACACAGCAGTGCTTGGAGAAGAAATGTCTGAGTGAATCATGTCTTGAACTTCTGTTCAAGCCCTTGAGGGGCAGACCGTGAGCGTGTCTCTGCTGCCCTCTGGTGGCCATGTGGATGCATGACTCCCTTTCCTTCCATGCTCCCTCCTGCCTTGGCTGGGATCCTCCTCCCTCCTGGTTTCCTGTCCTCTGAGCCTTTGTCTTCGCCCACCTCTCCCACAGACCACGTCCCTACACAAAATGAACATCCGCAATCTACAGCATAATTCAGGACGTAGTTCTTATTTTAAAACTGGTGTCCCTTTTAAGGGCTTTTTGAGAAGAGATGCACAAACATTTAAACAGAGCTTCTTTAAGTGGTCGGTTGGTGGTAGCATGACTGACCTAAACAAAATGCAAAGACAAGTCCTAAGGTCCTGGGAAAATTCCAACACAATATACCATCAAGATGATACAGATTATGTGTAACGGGTAGAATAGTTTCAAACCACAAAATTGGGTGTGAAAAAATAAATTTCTGTATTTTCCTATTCCTGATCCTAATTTTTATGTCAAACCCTATACTGTCTTATAGCAAAGGCATTAATCTAGTAATTTCCAGTTAAACTCTGTGGCTTTCACAACTATTAATGGTTGAAAAACGGCCTCCGCCCAGGGTTATTTCTAAGTCCCGAGGTAGGAGATAGTACAGGGTGGGTGGGGAAGGCTCACCTCATGTTACAACATTGACTCCCCCTGTATGTCACGGTCACACTGCCCCTGGTCGGCCCCGACCTCCGCATGTCAGTGGTGATGATGTTACATGCACGCCATCCCTCTCCCTTTGCTGCATCATCCCGTGCCAGCGTTCGAGGCAGCAAACTTTCATTCCAAGCATTGAGCCTTCAGGGCTGTGTCTTCTTGCCTTGGGTAGCTTTCCCTTTAATTCTTCTCTTTGAAGCTATTGTGGGAGAGAGACAGCTGTGTCACTATT